TGTCAAGTTCCCCAATGTGATGGATATGTTTGCAAAACTGAGGGAAGATGGGTTTAAGATCACCCTGTGGATCCATCCCTTTATACACAAAGATTCCTCCAATTTTGGTGTGGGGATTGAGCGTCAGCTGTTCATCAAGGAGCCATCAGGGCGGCTGCCAGCCATGGTGGAGTGGTGGAATGGCATTGGGGCCATCCTGGACTTCACCAACCCAGCAGCCCGGGACTGGTTCCAGAGCCACCTGCGCCAGCTCCGACACAAGTACGGCATCTCGTCCTTCAAGTTTGATGCAGGTGAGACCAGCTACCTGCCCAAGCAGTTCAGCACCTTCCGGCCGCTCTCGGACCCCAGCATCTGGTCCCGGCGCTACACAGAGATGGCCATCCCCTTCTACGAGCTGGCCGAGGTGCGCGTGGGCTACCAGTCCCAGAACATCTCCTGCTTCTTCCGCATCATCGACCGTGACTCCGTCTGGGGCTACGAGCTCGGCCTCAAGTCCCTCATCCCCACGGTGCTCACCATCAGCATGCTGGGGTACCCATTTGTGCTGCCGGATATGATTGGAGGGAACTTCCTCCCTAATAAGACAGAGGGGGCAGTGGAGATCCCCGACCGGGAGCTGTACGTGCGGTGGCTGGAGCTGTCGGCCTTCATGCCCTCCATGCAGTTCTCCATCCCGCCCTGGCTCTACGACAAGGAGGTGGTGGAGATCGCCCAGAAGTTCACGGAGCTCCACGAGTCGCTGGTGGCCCCGCTGCTGCTGGAGCTGGCCGGGGAGGTCACCGACACGGGCGACCCCATCATCCGTCCCATCTGGTGGATCTCGCCCCGCGACGAGGCCACTCACAGGATCGACTCCCAGTTCCTCATTGGGGACACCCTCATGGTGGCACCTGTCCTGGAGATGGGCAAGCAGGAGCGGGATGTCTACCTGCCGGCGGGCAAGTGGCGCAGCTACAAGGGGGAGCTGTTTGAGAAGACCCCAGTGCTGCTCACTGACTATCCCGTTGACCTGGACGAAGTTGCCTATTTCCTCTGGGTGTCCTAACATGGTCCTCATCAGTGTACAATGGACTCAGTGATTAATTAACCAACAGCTTTAATGACCTGTGAATTGGCATAGTTTTTTACATTGAAACACTTCATTATGAAATTTGAAGAAAACACTGAGACTTCTGTTTTTTTATGGAGCAAGTGGTGCTCCATAACTGATTAATATATATTGGATGAGTGTCTTTGTTATTGCAGTGTGACAAGTGCAATGTATAGAAACACAGTCTCTGCTCATAATCTTTTCCTACCAAGAAATGCCATGCATGCTTCTTGTTTATAAAGGAAATTACATGGACTCCTTTGTTACCCAGTTGCACAGCTGATCCCCTGAGGTATTTAAAATTTCATGTGCTTAGTGAAGGAGGCAGCTGCAGCAAATTACTTTTTTTTTTACAAAAAGCAGTCTGTGGTTATCCTGAAGAGGAAGGCACCCAAACTGCAGCCTGCACAACAGATGGGAACTGATGCAGGCGTGAAGAGGAGTTTACACTTCCCATGGCTATCTGAGTAAGGAGAAGAAAGCTGCAGCACTTGCTGTATGCTGTGGCAACTGCTTTCCCCCTTTCATAAATTATTGAGAATCATGTCCATGGTGTGGATTCAGGTAAGCCTGTAAATGTGGTGAAATCTCATGGTAGTAAAGATTAATACATAGTACCAAGTCAGGGTTTAGACTTGATAGTGCTCCCATGTGTGTTTTGGGACCATGTTTAGAGCCAAAGGGTGCAATCTGTCAGGTCCCAGGGGAGAACTTGGCCTCCTCAGAGAGTTCAGACAATTAACAAACCAGCCTGAGTGCCCTGCTGCCTCAGTTTCCCCATTGAAAATGTTCTCCCACCCTGTGCTAATGGAGATCCCTGTCCATGAGCCGGTATTCTGCCCACACAGGTGACTTCTCCTGAGTGAAGGTGTGTCAGCAGCTCCTGAAGGCTTGTGGTAGGCAGGCTGTCTGTGAAATGCTCTCCACTCCTGGTCCAACCTTCCCTCTGTTTTTAAACAAACAAAAGCTTAAAGGTGACACATCTGAGCAGTTTGGGAGAGCCCAAGAGTCTCTGGGATGCAATGTGCCTTCCCAAAATGAGAGACAGATCCCTTTGCTGACCCCAGCACACTGCTTGTAGGTAACTGGGAGGTAAAGCTCTTGTGTGGCCCCAGGACAGGAGAAAGCTCCCTTCTTTAGGGGTTTGTCCCAGAGCTGATCCATACAAAAGGTAAACAGGGGCTGGAGAACATCGCACTCACTCCAGGGCTGGTTTGGTGTCCAGGTGAAGCAGCCCCAAAACTGGCTCAGACTCCTGTTACCCATCAGGGGGTCCGTTGTACCGAGAGGACTCTGCGTGGGCACAGTGGCACAAGAGCAATGCCAGATGTTCTGGATGAGCCAGAACATCTTCTAGATGCCCCTGAGAGCAGCTGAAGCTACAGTAATGCTATTGCTGGTGTGGCTGAGGGGAGGGACAACCCCACTTTAATCCAGGGATGTGAAAGGGAAGGCAGTGCTCATCAGTCTGCCAGTTCTGTTCAGAGTTAACAGGATATCTCTGAATCCTTACCGTAGGCTTTCTTCTATTCCAGGATAGTAGTTTCCAAGGAACGCATCTCCCCCGAGGTTGAGAAACTGTTTCTGAATGCTACTCTGTTGCTGCTTTGAAGCCCCAAGGAGTCCCTGACATATGAGCTTGGGGGAACCAGAGGGTCCTGGAGGGGCCCAGCAAGATTCCTCTGGCTGTTGTTGCTGCACCAAAAAAAAAAAAGCTTTCTGCAAAGCTGATGCCCTCGATGCTGAGGAGAGGTGGGAGAACCAGACTCCAGCCCCCTCATATGGCACCTCTGCCTGTGTAATCAGTGTGTTCTGTATGCACACACAGCTCTGCCACCCACCTGCATCACAGACTGGGTGGAAAAAATAGGCATCACTGAGACTTTCTGCAAACTCTGGAGATGACATGACATGCCTGGTACCATGGCTGCAAAAATGCCTCCCCCATCCCTTTCCAGTCTTTCCCCCAGTGCTTTTCCCTGCTGCCCACCCAAGCCACAGGGAGCCATGGGGGATGGGTACTGGAAGCATCCTGTGAGCAGGTGGCACCCCAGCCACCTCTCGACACCCTCCTGCAGCACCAGGGCTGTGTGCTGACAGAGGAACATCTTGTTTGCCTTGCTAAGCCTCAGTCCTGATTGGTTTTTTGCACTCCCAGTGCTGAGCAAGAGCTCTTTGCTGGAGGTGCTGGTGACATGGGACTCTGCCCCAGCACACAGCTCACCCCAGTCAGCCTATTTTTTGGCAGGGGCAGTTTATTGCCCTTAATCTTTGATGATCACTGAGATAAAAACCACCTAGCCCTCCTGGCAACATAATAAAAGAAATAAAAATCTCTGATTTTCTGTACTTGGCCTCTGGGATGTTGCATCAGCCCAGACCATCTTTTATGACTCTCCTGGCACAAGGCATCTACAGGCTGGCAGCTCCCACCAGGCTCGGGACGAGCTGAGACTGAGGAGGTTGTTTTTTTCCTGAGCTGCCAGCCTGGCCACATGCCCTAAAGGTCTCTGCTGCCGTCAGTTTCTCCTTTTACCACGGTCCTCCCTAGCCCTGGGGTCTGCCTGCGTGTTGTTTTTTTCTTACTTTTAATAAAAGCTGTTATTTTGAGCAGCATGGACATGCTCACAGCTAGGATCTCATGGGTCAGCACCCACTGCTCTGCTGTCACCATAGGCACCTCCTTGAAATCCAGTTATGAACTGGGCTTTTGCTTTAGCCTCGGTGGTGTTTCGACTTTGCCATAAGCACTCCCCCCTGTGCAATACAGTGTTTTCAAGCACTGCCATTTTAGCTGGGATGCAGCACAGAGTTGTTCCCACTTGCCGTCCCCATATCCCTGACGAGCCTCAGACACCCTCTCTACACACAGCACCAGCTTTTGGGAGGATGCAAACCAAACCTAAACCTAAAGCACCGATTCCAAAGAGGACCTCTGCATTATTGAGGATCTGCTGCAAGCCTGTGACTGCTGCAAGTTGCCAAGGTCTTCAGCAGGGCCAGCTTCACCCTCCATGTGATCATCAGCCAAGTGTATGGATGCCACTCGCATCCAAGGAAGAAGTCAAAGGAACAGCATTGGGAAAATGTCTTTTACTGCAAAAGGAGTTAACTGAAGTTCCTCTCATTTCTTAAGCCACGCTGAATGTGTTGGCCAGGGCTACTGATGCCTGATGGCACAAGGCAGCTGTGGTTTGTGCAGTTAACAATGGAAAGGGAAGGAAAAACATTATGTGGGGCAAAGGGGGATGGTGTGGGGTAAGGCAGGCTCCTAAATGAGCTTCATGTGCTCCATTCCTGGGACTTTCACAGCCACAAATATCTACTCCATCCCCATCCTTGCTGTCAGTGCCATCTGGAAAAGGGAACCCTGGGCAGTGGGGACAGCCAGGGCCCAGAAGGACCTTCTGGAGTGCCCGAGGGGAGCTGAGGGCAGGCTCCTCTTCTTCATTTCCTGCAAACAGTCCCAAAGTATGTGTCCTCTGAGAACACTGCGGACTAGTAAACCCCCCAGAGTCAGTGTTGATTAGCCTTTTTTGGGTGGACATCAGTAAAAACGGGCACGACAGTATGGGCCCCACCCCCGGGGTTGACACAACATCGGGGTTTGCCCAGACGTGGTCTTTTCCAGGCCATCCCTAAGGCACAGCTATTTTCCTTGCTGTCAGGACCTAAGAAAGGGCAATCCTTGATCCAGTGTGATTGTCTGCCACCACTGCAAACACAACAGTGGGGTGACTGCCAACTCCTCCTTTTAAAACATACACCAAAGCTGCAGGCTGCCAGCTTTAATTAAAACAACAAAATCTCAACTGTGATTTCAGTGACAATAAGGGTAAAAGAAGCCCCAGATACCCCTGAACCACCAGCTGAAGCAACTTGGTCAAGAAAAACATAGTTAAACTTCTTTTTGTTTTCCAAAATTTTTATCTCAATCAGGGTGATTCATGTTACAGTTCATACCAATTAAGAATTACAAAAGTGGTTAAAAACAGACCCACCAGCATTACAGTCTGACGTAGGACAGCATGTGCAAACACAAGCACCCAGGAAACCCGATACACAACAGTGCAAGCTTCAAACTTCCATCACATGAGCATCGCATGTGGAAAGGCTGAATCCAACTCCCAAACCTGTTTTGGGGCTTTTCCATTGCTGAGACAAGCTAATTCTTGCTTTGGCCAGTGACTCACGGTGTAAATCAGAGAAATCCCCCTACCAGCAGTTCTCAAGGTGTCTGTGCAGAGCTTGTGGTCTACAAGGTCCAAGAGATCCTCAAGTTTTGCAGTGCTACAGCACGGTGTTAGAAGTAGTGGTTTTGGTAAAAAGTTGGATGGAAAGGGCACCTAGAAGCCTGAGACACCTTAAGGCAGCACTGCTGAGTCTATCCCCAACACCAGCCCTTACATCCTCTCAGCAGCTTTATCCTTCCTCTTGCTGGAGTCCTGAATAGCCATACAGCATTTAGAAAAAAAAGGGTACTGTATAATCTTACCCATTTATGATAGAGTTAAATAAAAAGAAAACTAAAACTTTGTTAATAAAAGCCTTTCTTTTGAGGGGAGGGGAAAGAAGACAGTGTGTCTTATGGAGAACTTCCTCCCTGACCTCCCTGACAGTGCCTGATACCACTGAAAGGAGATTGAAGGCACTCATCTGGCTGCTCCCATCATTTTAATAGCAGAGGGATGCTAAGAGGAACTCTGTGTTTCTCTTCACACAGTCTCATCCCTTACTAGTGAGGGATGTGGTGAGTGGCACAGAAACAGGGGAAGACATGCAATATCTCCTGGGATCCTTCCCATGAAGTCCTGTGCCAAGGATCCCACTTCTACATTGGGAGCTGAGCTGTGCAGCAACACCCCCTCCACCTAATGACTCCCACACCAAGGGATGACAAGTATTTCAGGTTGAAAGGGAAGAGCTGGAGCCTATCAAGGCATGACCTTTATGAATTTCTGGAGGTCTCTCCACACCCTGTCCTCCCTGTAGGCTTTGGCCAGACTCATCTCCAGGAGATCCTTACCTTCACCTCCACCCTCCAAGCAAGGCCCAAGTCCTGCTAGTGCCCTGATGAATGATGCTGAGATTCCAGAATTAACTCCTTGCCAGAAGGAATCTGTAACTGGTGCTGTAATCATTCTTTGTACTGGTGGTGAGGAACAAGCTTGAGTGCTTCAGAATTACAAGCCTGAGAAAAAGGCTTTGGAACATACTTGTGCTCCAGCTGGGCAAGGACCTATAAGGCTCCCCTTACATCTCATTTTGAGGCTGAAACACCAAATTATGCAGGGCAGATTCAGATCTTAAGGGATGTTCCAAAGAGACCTTCAAACCAGACTTCCTCCCTTCCTAACTATAAAACTGGATTCAGATTTTGCCCCAACACCTAAATTTCTCCTCCTCGATTCCACCACAACCCCCAGGCTTAGTGCATCTCTTTTTCTGCCTCCTGTAAAGCCCAGTGGTAGGAGACGTACTTTGAGAAAGATCCTCACTGGTACTCAACCCTAACCAAAACATGAACCATCTCCCTCAGTGGCAGACTCATGCTGGACCTTTGCTCAGCCCAGATACAATCCTAGGAGAAGCCCCAAGGATACTGAGCTGTCCTTGGCTGGTGCCCCAACCCTTCCCAGCCATTGCAGTTCAACTGCTTCTGCGGAAGCTCATTAAAAATTCAGGGGCTGACACACGTTCCCAAACCAGGGCACAGCCGGGAATGTCCTGCCTTAGGGAGGAAGGCTGCCAGACTTCAATCCTGCTCGCTCTGTCTTGAGTCTCCGTAAATGCATCTTTCCATATAAAAGCAAATGGGGAATCTGTGAAAGAGTCATCTCTGCAGCTGCAGGGGACTTTGGGTGCAGGATCACATCACCCCGTGTCCCCTCCAGAAGCCTCTGACAGCAATCCCACCTCCAGCTGCCTGAGGAAGACCCTTAGGATCCTTAGGACTCTCCCAGAGAGAGAAGAGGGCTGACTCAGAAAAACCCTCACCCAAGTCATCACCTCTAACCGCGACCTGAGGCGGGTATTGGTTTAATTTCACCTCAGATGAGAACGTTTCCGTGGGCGCAGTGAGAACACCCGCTGGCACAGACCCATCAGTCCAGAAAGCCGGTGTTTTCCACCCACGGGCAAGTCGGCTAGCAGCAAACCTCCCCGCCAATCCCAGACACGTGCTGCTCGCGGGAACCGGCTGTTCCTGGGGACGCGCCACACTTAGTGCTTGAGAGCGGCTTTGCTCCAGGCGGTCCTTCTGCCAGCAACAAACCTCATCTGTCCTTAAAAACCAAAAAAAGGATGGCATCAGCAGGATAATCACGTAACAAAGCGGTTTCATAAATGTTTAAAAAAGACTAATGGGACGCGCTGGTATGGGCAGCGCCGCTCTAGGAAAGGCAATGTTGATGCCCAGGGCAAAATACAAATGCAAGAGCCTTGTACGGGGTGTCAAATGGGCGAGGAGGTGGGATGCAGCTGTCCCAGCGGGCAATAAGCAGCCCATAAAATTAAAACACATCGAGTAACCTGGCCTGCTTGGTAGCCAGGACAGCAGGAGCACGGGGCAACTGTTAGTCCAGTGCCACGCTAGACAAAAGGGGTAAAAAAATATGCGTGCATATATATATATATACATATATATATATTTTGCTTTCTGTTTTTAAAAATATCCTTTTGAATATATTTGCCATAATTTAAAACTTACGGCAGGCTGTGCTGCAGCAACCCTCTCACACTACACACCCTCATACCCACTGCCAGGTGCTCCCACAGAACTAGAAACGCTACCACTGGCACTAACCAACCTCCACATCTTGAAATCCTTGGGAACTGAAAAGGTGTTGGGTTTACTAAATGTCTGCAGACAGACTGACAACTTCTTATTGATCTATACAGAGAAATTTGCTGCCTACTGTTATCCAATCAGAGTTTCCCAACTGACCCAAATTAAAAAAAACAAGATCAATCCCCAAATAAAAAAAAAATTATCCCCAAGTGAAGTCTATATAATTCCCCTCCTCCACCCCAGTCTCAAATGAAATGTGCAATTAGAATTATTATCTGTTAGAAAGTCCTAGGTAAGGCATGGTTATTCCAAAGCTGGGGAAGAAGCCTGTTAGGACACCCAGAGGAAATAGGCAACTTCGTCCAGGTCAACGGGATAGTCAGTGAGCAGCACTGGGGTCTTCTCAAACAGCTCCCCCTTGTAGCTGCGCCACTTGCCCGCCGGCAGGTAGACATCCCGCTCCTGCTTGCCCATCTCCAGGACAGGTGCCACCATGAGGGTGTCCCCAATGAGGAACTGGGAGTCGATCCTGTGAGTGGCCTTGTCGCGGGGCGAGATCCACCAGATGGGACGGATGATGGGGTCGCCCGTGTCGGTGACCTCCCCGGCCAGCTCCAGCAGCAGCGGGGCCACCAGCGACTCGTGGAGCTCCGTGAACTTCTGGGCGATCTCCACCACCTCCTTGTCGTAGAGCCAGGGCGGGATGGAGAACTGCATGGAGGGCATGAAGGCCGACAGCTCCAGCCACCGCACGTACAGCTCCCGGTCGGGGATCTCCACTGCCCCATTTGTCTTATTGGGGAAAAAATTCCCTCCGATCATGTCGGCAGATATGAAGGGGTACCCCAGCATGCTGATGGTGAGCACCGTGGGGATGAGGGACTTGAGGCCGAGCTCGTAGCCCCAGACGGAGTCACGGTCAATGATGCGGAAGAAGCAGGAGATGTTCTGGGACTGGTAGCCCACGCGCACCTCGGCCAGCTCGTAGAAGGGGATGGCCATCTCTGTGTAGCGCCGGGACCAGATGCTGGGGTCCGAGAGCGGCCGGAAGGTGCTGAACTGCTTGGGCAGGTAGCTGGTCTCACCTGCATCAAACTTGAAGGACGAGATGCCGTACTTGTGTCGGAGCTGGCGCAGGTGGCTCTGGAACCAGTCCCGGGCTGCTGGGTTGGTGAAGTCCAGGATGGCCCCAATGCCATTCCACCACTCCACCATGGCTGGCAGCCGCCCTGATGGCTCCTTGATGAACAGCTGACGCTCAATCCCCACACCAAAATTGGAGGAATTGTAGTTTATGAAAGGGTGAGTCCACAGAGTGATCTTAAACCCATCTTCCCTCAGTTTTGCAAACGTCTCCGTCACATTGGGGAACTTGACAGGGTCAAAATCAAAGTCCCCATAGGCTTGGGTGTACATGTCATCGATCTCTATGTGGCTGCAATTAAAACGGTACTTCTTGATCTTTTCGGCAAATCGCAAGAGTTTGTCCTGGTCGATGTCGTTCTTGTAGAGTGCCCAGGTGGACCAGATGGGGTATCGGAAGGCGTTCTCGGCAGGGATCTTGGAGGGCTTGTTGAAGTACCTGCGCACCATGTACTTGTGGATGGAGGTGATGTCGGAGCCCACGCAGACACGGTAGCTGAGCTCGGGGAAGGGCGGCTGCCCCGGCAGGGGCTTGTAGGGCGAGTCCTTGTAGCGGGCCTGGAAGAAGAGGGCGCGCTCAGTGGCGTTGAAGCCCAGGTGGAAGGGCACGGAATCGTTGATCTTGATGGCCGCCGCCTTGGAGGAGAGCCAGTAGCGCTCCAGGATGCCGCCAAAGCTGTCGCGGAAGGAGTAGACGTCACTGGTCACGTAGGGCACGGGCTCCTGGTAGCCAGCCAGGCGGATGGGCCAGTGCTGGGTGCTCATCTCCGAGCCCCCGTACCAGTGGGCATCCTCCCAGAACATGGTGTGCTCCACCGCCGGGCCGGCCGCCAGCTCCTCCCAGCGCACGCGGTAGCACATCACCGTGTCCTTGGGCTTCACCGTCTGGATGAAGAAGTTGAGCGGCCCCCGGCTCGACCGCGTGCAGCTCAGGATCTCGCCCTCCTTGGAGCACGACTCCAGGTCCAGGCTGCCCGAGCGGAAGGCCAGCCGGAACACCACCTCCCCGTGCTGGTTCCTGATGACGAAGCCGTCCGCCCGCAGGTCCATCAGCTCCGTCTTGAGCCGCTCCGCCTTCCGCAGGGACACCGTGTAGTAGCACCAGGCCACCACCGCGGCGATGAACAGCATGAGGCCCAGCAAGATGGCCCCGAGCATGGGCCTCAGCTCCTTGGAGGGCTTCTGCTTCACAGGTGTAAAGTTCTCGGGCAGGAAGGTGTACATGGTGCTGTTTTCTCTATAGCTTTTTGCAGAGAAGTGGGAAGGAAGCAAGTCAGGGTCTCTCAGCAGAGGAAAAAGGGACTGTTAGGAGAGTTCCCACTTCCACCGACTCCCAGAACACTCATGTCTGCAAAAGAAGGGGATATAAATAGTGTCAGAAAAACCTCTGAATCAAGGGACAGCATGTCATCCATTTGCTCTCTCAGTCTGAGCAGCTCCCCCAGCCCCCCATTGCCCAACTGTGACGTGCCAGGTGCTGTACGCCGAGTACCAGACACCATCTCCAATTACCCCAGGCAAGACAACACATGTGGAAAGCAGCCTGGGCCCCACGCCGAGAACAACCCCAGGGCAACAAGGACCAAATCATTGCCATAATTAATGTTCTTTTCTTGTTGGGAGCCTTTCAGTGAGGCAGGAGTGGAGGCTGGGAGGGAGTAGAAGGAAGCTGAACAGGAGCCAGATCAGCCCACTGACAGTGTCTTTAAGAGACAGGGATAACTAAGAGCCATAAAAGACACCACGTAATGAATTCCAGGCAGCCTCTCCTAATTTTAATCAAATTGCCTCCCTGGCAGATTTAATTCAACTCATCTGCAGCACCATCCACTTCCTGTCCCCAGTATGTCCCCAGCATGTCCCCAGCATGTCCCAGCTGCTCGAGCTGGGTGATGCTTTGCAGTGAAGGTGGGAAAATCCATGCTTCTCCACACCTCCCAGAGAGCCAAACAGGGCTGGGGTACCAGTTGCTCATGGTTGGTTTTGGGGGGCATGTAGGGGGTGCAGTAAGCAGCAAAGCGTGGCTGTGGGAGGTACCACACCAGCAGCCCCCAGCCAGAGGAGAGCAGCTGGCTCTGCCACGTGCTCAGATCTCTACAAGGGCTCTGCATGGGAGAAAAGCTAACTTTGCTGGGAGTGAGCAGTGCAGGACCTCCAACGGGCTCTTCCTCTGTGCAGTAAGGCTCCAGGCTGTGTTTCAGCTCCATCTCTCTCTCCCCTGCGTGGCCCCGGGGAAGCAGACTGTGCCAAGAGCCTAATGGCTTTTCCTTGGCCATGGTCTGGCTGGGCTCCGCCAAGCATAACACCCGGGATCCAGGGGAAAAAGTAAAGTAAGGACACGGGAGAGTGAGAAGCAAACACAGCTGCAGGAGGAGCAGGGGCAGGGGGAAGGAGCTGCAGAGCTGCAGACCAGCTGGCCGGTACCTGCCTGGTGCCAGCAAACACGGCACGCCGCCTCCTCCCCAGGCTTTGGGGCTGGAAACCTGCCAGCTGCAGGAAAATCAGAGGGCAAAAGCCCTCTTCTGGGGCACAGATGAAACTGGTTGCAGAGGCTCCCTCTAAAGGGGTTGGTTTCTTTCTTAACAGAAGGGAAGAAAAAGATCTAAAATGAAATACAGAACCCTTTCCCTGCCACAGGCGCGACAAGCCAGAACACTCTGCGCCTCAAACAGACCTTTCTCCCCAGAAAAGGCAAAGAGAAGCAGAAAGGGGTCCTGAGCACCACCTAAGCCCTGTTCCTCTGCTACAGGCATGCCCATGTGTGTAAACCCACAGCAGCATCTGTGCACAGGCTAAACTAAACATTCCGTGTTTTCTAATCATCTTGAAGCGTGTATTGAACTAGACCTTGCAGTTGGGGGAACTTTTTGTGTAGCCAGACAGGTCATTTTAACCTTCCCCTGGGAGCCAGTAACTTTCTAGACTGCCAGTTGCTTTAAATGGGATTACGGAGGCATTAGGAAGCGATTAGCCTGAACAGGCGATAGGTTTAGTTAAATGACTTGTCCCATGGCCAGCTCCCACGGAGCCCTCACTCCCCACAGGATGGGGACAGCTCCAGCCATTCCAACTGGGTCACTCAGCGATGGATCCTGCCCCCAGGAGGGCAGTGGGACTCTCACCCACCAGCACATGTGATGCAAGGCCAGCTGAGCCCAGCAAAAATTGGGCAAGAAAGGCAGGGAGAAGCTGGTGGTGGGAAGAGGCTTAACCTTCATCTTCTCTCCCAACTCTTGCTTTGCTTTAGGATGAACCAGAAGCAGCACAGGGCTTTACCGGGGATGGCAGGGAGGAAGGTTTGCGGAAGGATCTTGGCCAAAACCAGCACAGCTGAGCAAAGCCGCAAGTGGTAGGATGCTTCTGGAAATACAAATGGGTATGCTGAGCCCAAAAAAGCTTTCTCCCTCTCAGCACTGGGAATTTCTGGGATGCCAGAGAGAGAGAGATGCAAATACCTGTCACCTCTGTCTCAGTCCTGCCTTACCTGGGGACTGCAAAGCTCAGGGGGGGGAAATATAAAATGCAGTCTCCATCAAGCAGGACTTGCAAATTATTTGGGAAAGTAATTTTTTTTAAGTTTTCATATTTTCTGTACAAAAAAGAGGGGAAAATGGTGTTTTCTTTCCAACTCTCACTTAGGGTTTTAAGCCCAAGAAATGTTTGATACTGCCACTGTGGCGACAGCCACCTCCTCATTCCATGTAAAACTGACAGCAGCACCCAGGGCTTTAGGGAGTTTCTGGATTTTTATCTCCCTTTCAGGAGGCTGGTTTATTATTTATGAACTACTTCCAAGCTGCTCTATTTTTAGGCTGTTTCCTTCTTTTACCCCCCATGGGCTGGAGCTCATGGCATACATGAGGGAGTCATCACTGCCGCTGTCAGTAGAGGAATAAATGTGTTATTTTAAGAAAGATTTTGCAGCCTGTTGTGTCCCTTGGACACTGATCTGCCTCAGAGGGATGTGAAGGCTGGGTGATTGAGCTGGTGGATATAATGCTGCTCTGGTTGCTATGGCTGGGCCAGGATCGAACCCTGTGGGCTGATGGACGTTGCCTGCTTGGAGACTGCTCCAACAAAGACACTTGGAACTATGTTTTTGGGCATCACCCAGCACACCGATGGGACAGAAGGGTCTCCAAACCCAATCCTGCTCTGTGCCCGTGCAGTCCCTGTATTTTTTTTGCCTTGTTAACAAAATGCATGCTCTCCAGTGGGAGATATGGCTCCATCCCAGGTGAGAGCTAAGTCTCCCAGGCTCCCCAGGGACGCCTTCCACCTCTCACTCGTGAGCTGCAGCCTGCAGAGGTGCCTGCTCATGAACTGCGTGTTTCAACATTTTTTTTTGGAATGCTAACTTGTTATTTTGCTCCAAGATGACATTGTGGTGACCTTTAACTCCTCAAAAAAAAAAACCAAAACAAAAAAACAAAAAACCCAACCAAACCAACAACAATCAAAAGAAAAAGAAAACGGGAAGGGAGAGTGTCAAAGTCAAACAGCGTGTTTGCAGCTTGCTGTGCTGGAGCTTCCCAGCTGACCCAAAACAAAGCTTTTTCTTTGTGTTCTGTGGAAGCAGCGAGCCATCTTGCCTCAACCCAAGATGAAAGCAAAACATCTGAGCAGGACACACTTTACGGAGTAAAAATAAAAATCCATTTTTTGACCGCTTCTATTTTTACCAACACTGCCGCTAACCACGGGCTGCGAGACCCACAGCACCACTAACCCCAGCCACTTTGCAATTAGGACATTCATTTAAAGAGGGTCAATAACATACAGCTGGTCTCTACTGTCCTGAAAGGGTCAGGTCTGAACCATGCTGGGGGCCAAGCTTGTGCTGGGGACACACACCCATTTCCCATGCCGGGATGCCAGGAAGCCCTTGCCTACGCTGCAAGGTGCTACCGCCTCCTCCCCAAACATATTGGCAGGAGTCGAGCTAAGGAAACAGCACAGAAACGCTGCAGCTTTCAGCAGGAGGCACCTCCACACAAGAGAAGGGAATCAGGATAGCAAATTAAAAGAGAAATTTCTTCTCTGCAAAAAAGCTGTGGGAGCAAAAACACCGCCACGTGCCCAGTCTGGAACCCCCTGTGGGGAACCAGCCCTGACAAAGAGACTTTGCACACCTGAGATGGAGGACAAGCAAACCCTTCCTGAGGGTTTAATTTCCCTTGGAGGGGTCTGCAGCAGAGCACTGGAGTTCTCTGAAGGGCTTTGTGGGGTCAAATATGGTGAAATCGCTGTTCCACCTGCTTGGTGCTGTAGGTGGGACAGGTCGGGGCACCTGGTAAAAACCCCTTCACGGAGCACAGGGCTGCTCCCCACACACCCTGACTCCACGTGGATCAGAGGCACCGATTCCCTCCCGAGTCCTGTGGATCCTCCCAAATACCACAGCAGATCCCCCCAGGGCTCTGGGTTTATCCCTGTAATGCTTAAGCCACCTTGGGGTGGCACAGACCCCCGGCCCCTGAGCCAGGGCAGCGACTCTGCCCGAGCAGGGATAGGGAGGGGGACCCTCACCTTCACCGTCCGCGCTGTGGTCAGAGCAGGGATCGACAGCCTTCCTGGTCTGAGGGGCTCAGGGAGAGGCTGCGGGGAGGGGGTTGCCTGCTCCTCCTGCAAAGTGACAGACCCTCGCTGCTGGGGCTGTTGCAAATTCCCCACAGCACTCGACTGCTGGATACGGACAGGCCCAGCCAGGAGGCAGCTCATCCCGCCGGGGGCACGGTGCCCCGGGTACTTACCTATCCACTGCTTCCCGGGGATCCCTGCCTGTCGCCTGGCTTCATCACAGATGCCTTTTTAAGCACATAAAACCCGAGCACAGCTACACCTCCACCTCCCCGGCAGCTTCGTCCTCTCCATCGCGTCTCGGGGCTCCGAGCCGGCTGCTCCGCGTCCACGAGCAGGAGGAGGGGACCGGCACGTCACCGGCGTGTTCTCTCAGGCACTGTGACGGATGCGGGAGCAGCCAACCCTCTGGCCAGGATGTGCCAGGGAAGCGGCGCACGGCCAAGGGGAGCTGCCGCAGGCACTGCCGGGGCACACGGGCACACACTCCCGGAGTCCCGGGATCCGGGCTGGCATCTCCCCTCCCTGCCAGGCGGGCGAGAAGAGCCGGCGAAAGCTCATTCTCTCCTGCACTCACAGGAGCTCCAGAATCAGAAAGCAAAATAAAAAACAAAACAAAACAAAAAACAACCCAACACACGGTTTGGGGTAGGTTTTCTTCCCCCGCTCCAAATCCTGCGATTTTAAGCAGTGTCGTGATCCTGTAGGATAATGAGGCTGCCTCGAGCCATGAGAAACAAGCAGTCCCACTGCTGCCGGCTGGTTTGTAAGCCAGGATTAAACAGCACTGGGCACCCAGAGGATAAACCCCGAATCCAAGGGGGCCATGTCAATACAGAGCTCATCTGCAAAGTGCAGACATGCTGCCAGGACCTTACTCCATCTGTAAGAGGAGGCAGGAGATTTGAAGCTGTGGCATTAGCTCTGCCCAGCCTTAAATACTTTCACCTGTACTGTAGGAATCGTGACTTTACAACCTAGTTTTGTCCTTTAAAGCTTCCAGTGTCAAGTGATGCTCCAAATCCATTTAGACACCTCATCCAGTGTCTGACCATGAATACAAAATAGCCACTGGGAACCAATTCTGGCAGCAGACGACTTAATATTTAACACCCCTGATAATTCCCCCTTTACAACATTGTCTTTCTTTGTTCTTCACTCTGTGTTAATTAGCAAGACGAAGTTTAATAAGCTGGTTTTTCACTTTAACCGTGCACACCTCTTATGGTGCTGACATCTCATGACTAAACCATGACCAGAGGCTCTTGCTTTCCCCTGCCTGGAGGCACATCACAGCACCTGAATTTATCTGAACCTCAAAGATTTGTGGAGACTTTAAAACAAAGTGAGGTGTCCTGGTCCACTTGTATCAAAGTGCATTGGACATAAGGGAGAGAAAGCTCCAGGGCTCTCCCTTCAAGGACATCTCTCTGTCCACCTTGGAGAAGTCCTACAGGCCCTGGGGGAGCTGGAGGCAGCCTGGCTCCAAAATTGCAGTCCATGGGGTAGCCCAGAGCCCAGCAGCCAGCTTCTTGGCACCTAAGGGGCCATCAGCTCTCGTGCCCAACAGCAGCAAAAGCAAAACACCAAATGCAAGAGGTTCCACCTGCCTGCATGCCAGGATGACATAAATCACTCCCCCCAAATAAACGGGAGTGATAACTACAATAATTTCATCACTCCCACCAAGGAGCAGCACCAGGTAAGGAGGTGGCCCAGCAGCCAGGCACTGAAACCTCCACACGAGGCCTCAGTTTACTATTAGCTTATTTCATTTGTCACGTGTACCGTATAAGATTCACAGCCATCAAGATTTCGGTGTCTTTGCCGCTGTCTGTTGGTCCCTCAGCCCAATTCCGTCTGGTACACGATGTGTGCCATCAAACACCTCATCACTCCAACAGCCTCTTCCCAAAGCGGTGTTAATCTCATTTCCTACTCATCTCCCTCCTCCAAGACAAACCACCCCACAGCAGGATCTGGTGCCCTGTTTTGCCCCCCCCCCCCCCCCCCCCCAGATTCTTAAAAGAGCTGATTCAGCACTTTGGGAGCACTCAGCATTCCAGATGCTGAAGCAGGCTGAAACCTGAGCTCACCCCAACACCCAAGCGCTACAACACGATATGGGAGAGAAATGGAAACATAAGCACATCCCTTTGGCACGGCCCCGGCGATTTTCCAGCCATTGAGTCACCATGAAACTCCAGGCACTGAGCAGTTCCAGAGAGCTGTGGATGGCTAATGGAGCTGGGCTGGCGACTCAGGTCCCTGAATTTGCATCTGTATCCAACAGTCAATGAGACGGGACAACCTTGGGCCAAATGCAGTCGTCATTCCCTATAAGGGCTCCTTTGCATGCTCCATGTGCAGATCCAGTCATACAGACACAAACTCCCAAACCTCACTGTCCACCTGGCTGTGCATCATGGGTATCCCAAGGCGGTAAGGGAGGGGAAAAGAGGGAGTAGCATTTGTGCTTTCCAACACTCTTTGGCTGCTCCTTGCCACGGCCAGTGATGGCGGAGCTGTCCCAAAAACCACTCCAAACCCAACCCAGCAAATGGCACAATTCGCTGCATACACCCATCTGCAAAGTTTTCACTACCAAGCATCTATCCAGCGGTAAAAGCTGAAGCTGCACTTGGCGACTGGAGCTGGGGACGTGTCTCCCAGCTCCGTTCATCTCCTCCGGGCGGGCAGACTCCCACCCATGACAGAACTCGAGCGGTCCCTGCACGGCGGGATGCCAAAGGCGCGCACCCTAAGGTCAGGGCGAAGCTCTCCACCTTCACTCCGGTCCCCGCGGGCCTTCCCGAGCCATCCCCACTCCCGCCGGCAGCCTGAGGTCTGCGGGAGGGGGACCCCTCGCCCGCCTCCACCTCGCACCCCCCGTGCTGGGGCTGCGCTCCCCACACCCGCCCCGGGGGCAGGCCCGGGACCCGCGGACTCACCGGGGGCGCGGGGCCATGGCCGGGTCTGCGGGGCCGGGGGGCTCCGGGCGCGGGGCTGAGCGCGGTGTTCCGGGGTTGGGCGCTCCCCGCCCCGCCCCGGCTCCCGCCCCGGACCGGCCCCCGGACCGGCGCTCCCCGATGGGAGATGTAGTTCGGCCCCGGCGGGGCTGCTCCGGGGGGTATGGAGCCGCTGGGGATGCCCGGGGGACGCGTGAGGATGCGGGTACCCCTGGGGCTGGGATGGGGTAGTTCGGGGTTTGGCGCTGGCAGGGCTGTGCCAGGATGCTTTTGGGTCAGGATGGGGGTTTTCATGAGATGCTTCGAGGCCGGGACAGGGTTTTAATGGGATGCCTTGGGGCTGGGACGGGGTTTTAATGGGATGCTTTTGGGCTGTGCTGGGCTCTTCATGTGATGCTTTGGGGCTGGGATGAGCATCCCCCCCACTGTGAGGACTGCAGTGCTATGGGTTTATAATCAGCAGCACACTTGGAGGGCCCTGCGTGATGTTGCCCCCTGGCACTGTGCTCTCAGATCATAGTCAGAGAAGGGCATTTCATGCCTTCATTAATTATGTACTGCTTTCAAGTCCCCCTCCTTATTTAGCCTGTGTCCGTGCTCAGTATCCCAGATGGATGGCAGCTCTTCCTGGATAACTTGCCAAAAGCAAGCACGTCCTCAGCAGCCCAGCACGAAGCCGACAAACATGGGTGTCAATGACTGCTTCTATTTTTGGCTGTGTTACTATGCTCTGAGAGCTTTCCCTGGTGTGCTTTCTTGATCTCCAGCTTGTGCATGGTGGCAAGGTACCAGACCCTGAGGGTTCTTAAAGTGCCCACCAAGCCAGCAGTTGCTGAAGTTTCCTCCCCCTTACCAGGAACTTCCCCAGCCTGTGGGAAAGGGTTGGAGGGGAACTGATGCAAGCCAGTTTTAATGAAAGCCCATATTTACCCTTCCCCAGTGCCATGGGGCAGAGTAAGCCTCTGAGATAAACTAACGCTCCTTGGCATTGCCAGGAGACCATTTCCAGCAGGTCTCCCTCCCTGCAAACACCCTCTCTCTCTTTTATAGTCATTTCCCTAAAATGTTCTTTCCCAGAGCCATGCCAATCCAGGAAAATACTCCTGTTTCTAAGTGGAGAAGACCTTGAGAAACTTCTCTCTGAGCCTCAGGCATAGGGAAATCTATGGGAAACCCAATGCTCTCTGTTTATTCTCATTGTTTGGTTTTAGTTTCAGATCTCTGGAATTTAAAGCCAGTCATACGTTTTCTGCAAAGCCTCACACCTAATTTTGGCCTATGGGGGGTTAATGCAGTAGCAGAGTGATGACTGTGCTGTCTGGACAGCCTCCCTTCTGCCCTCGCTGCTTCCCCAGGGCTGAAAAAAGCTGCTTCAGCAACAGAGACATCCTAAAGGTAAACATGTGGGGATTAAAAGGTGCTGCTGGACCTGGAGTGGGTGAAGGACAGGGATAATTACTGCATAACGAACAGCGTGACCAGGGAACAGGTTCTTGATAAGTAGAGCACACAATGACAACAGAAAATACAAGAGCAGCACAAGAAACACTGAAGTGGTCTGTGAGGATGCTAAGCTACATGCATCCTGGCTCAGGGATGTCAGCGGGATTTCAGGGGTCGTACAGTTCCAAGGATGGCCAGGTGAGACCAGGCATAGCATCAACTGTCCTGGCAGGTAAATTTGGTAACTGGTTCTCTACAGGTGGCAACAACATTCTCCACAGCCCAGCACTGCAGTGGAGTCCTGCCCTGGTCAGGTTCACTCACACTGTGAGATGGAGATGTGAGGGCTGCATCGCTGCCTGTGTGGGCATCATGGTGGGACCTGCTACCCCTCGGTGTCTGCAGTCTGACCCATCCTAGGCAGGTGGATTTTGGGGGATACAGCTTGGGCATGCTGTGCAGAAAGGTCTCCAACCTTGCCTCCTGCAAGGAGCAATGTCAGCCTTGTGCTGCAGAGCTCGAGGTGCTGGTAGCACCTGAGGCAGCTCCAGTTTGGGGGGGTCTAGCAGGGCTGGACTCCACCTTGGGCAGAAGGGGAAGGTGAGAGGAGTGCTTATTCCAGGCTATGTGGTTGTAGGGACCTGTTGTCCAGGTGATGTATTTGCCCTTATTGACAAAAACTGTGTTGTGCTGTGTAATGCAAAAGCGACAGACCCTGTGGTGCTGGGGGCAAGGGGGGATGTCCAGAGAGTCCCAACTCTTCCCCCACTTTGTGAAAGACAATGCCACAGGGTGAGGGGACATGTCAGGGGTGCTGATCCTGAGGTTCTTGTCAAGGATCTGTCATGGAGGTGACACCCATCACTTGAAGCTCATTGGCCACTTGTCCCTGCCTGTGCAGCCCTGGTCCCTGGGGACTCTCCTGAAGAGTATCCCTGAGGCAGCACCTACCACCAGAGGGTATTTATGGGATACCAGGGGACAAAACATTAGGGATCAGCAGATATCCCTGGGACAGTGACAGTCTCAGTCCAGGGAGGGAGATGGGTGGCCATGGCAAAGCTACAAGCAAAGGGAGCATCCCTTTGCCACTGGAAGGGGGACACAGGATGCAAAAGGAGGATAAACAGAGCCACTGCCAGCATCTTCAGCCTCCTGACCCCATGGAGATGTGCCCTGTGTGACTCAGGGGGACAGCTGGCACCTCACCAGTACCTTCAGACCTGCCCAGCCAGTACTTCTTGGGCCAGTAAGCAGCAGGGTGATGGTGCTGCTGTAGTATTCCTGCATCGCCACCTCTATCAAATGCTTGGTCTGACCTTGGCTCGATGGATTTTGTAACAGGGGCGTTGTTAATCCCTACAGACAGCAGGGAGTAGGAAGAGACACCCATACCATGTGGCAGCATCTGTCTTCACGGCCATCGGGACACACGGTGAAGCCGATTATCAGGCAGGATCTAATGCTGGAAATGCAGCTGTACATCTGACACCAAGCCTCCCTTAAAGTAGGTGGGCCTGGGGCTCATTGCAGCACTGTGATCCTTCCTCCAGGCTCCCTGCTCACCCAAAACCAGGGGACGAAGGATGGCTGGGCATCACTGGCTCCTCTCCCCCTGCAGCCAGGGTGGGCAAAGGCATCTGGGCACTTTGCCTTAGTGGGAGATGGGAGTGAGTGCACTGGGAATGGGGCCAGCACAGGTGGAGAGTTACACAACCAAAGCAATGTCCTACAGCTGGCAAGGCCAGAGAGAGCTGGGTCTTGTGGGGCAGAGGGGTGCCCTGGTTGGTAGTGTGCTCCATTTCTGTCCCTGCACAGCAGTGACATCCATCTCTGTGCCCTCTGCTCGCTCCCTCATTATAATGCACATGCTAACGAGGCTGTAGGAGATGAGATGGTTTGCAGTGAGCTTTGCCTCAGTGCCTGCGACCTTCTTAGCCCCTGTAGGGAAAGCTGTGTCCCACAGACACACACACACTGAGACCTCGGCTCAGGGATCCCTCTTCCTCCAGGACCAGGGCTGGGAGGGGTATTTTGGCGCTCAGATCTTTCCCCAGCCCTTCACACAGTCCCCCTGTCATGGGAGGCCCCTCATCAGAACTGATCTGAGCCTGAGGGCTGTGTTGGAGCAGCTCTCAGAGCCACCCTGTGTGCCCCCCCCATCATCACCATGTCACGCAGCAGCCCTGGTCTGAGCCCTGCCTCAGTTTCCCTTTCCTCAGCAGATCCTGCTTCCAAACCTGTGCACTCCAAAACCTACTGATGGACAGGGCTGATGTGTGAGAGCTCTTCCCGGTGACTGCCAGCCCTCAGAGCCCAAAGCCACTGCAGGATGCAGCTCCAGGGGACAAGAAGTCGGCAAGCAATGGCTGTGAGCTGTCAAACGCCTCCTAATCAGGAAGCAATTCCCCCCTGTGCCGCCCCTCTGTAGCAGCAGTTGGGTAGGGGTAGAAACCCTGAAGTTTTCTCCTCCTGCAGCATTTATGTGTTTTACAAACTTGTTCTCTTTCCAGAGCTGCTGTGGAGTCTGCTCTTGGATGGTCTTTCCGACAAAGCTCAGCAGGCAGTAGGAGCTGATGTAAGTGCTGATGGGGGCCTTGTGTTTTTTGGAGAAGAGTAACATGTTGCTGCAGCCTGCTGGGACAGGGCTGGGCCTGGGGACTTGCAGCCCACACAGGAAGGGGAACGGGGCTGGTGCCACTGCTCTGCCAGCCCTGGGTGGTGCTTATGTGATTAGTGATGCCACAGAATGGGAGCAGGTGGATTTGGTGGCTTTCTGTCAGCCCCATAGCTATACTCCAGTTCTAGCCTAGGGCAGAGCAATTTCCGCCTGCATCACTCCTGGGCTGCACCCTCCTGATTTTATCCTGGCTCCCAGCTTCCTCCCCTCCTGCAGGCAACTACCTAACAATGGTAGGAAACAGTTTCAGCTGGTCCTAGTCAAGATAATTTTATTTTGGGAGGTGCAGAAATGATTGTGGTTTTTCCAGCCCCTTTCTCCTGTATTTACTTGGAAATCCTGCATCAATCCAGCTGCAGGCAAAGAGCCCCACACCAGCACAGCCAGTGCCCACAGCACAGCACCAGGAACAGCTGCCCCAGCCTCTGTGGTAGCCAGGGGAATTATGACCTGCTCTGCCTCCCCTTTTTAATTAGAAGCTGGATTTAGGTGATCCTGTGTGGCTTGTTTTCTCTTCCATTCTGAGTAATGGGCTCTGCAGTCAGCATGAGAGATCCTCATCCATCTCAGTGCAGAAAGGCAGCTGGATTATGCCAGGGAGGGATTTGCATGCACTGGGTTTGCTTTTCCTGGAGCTGGGGAGTTGAGCAGAATCCCTGCCCCTGCAGGGATGGGGACAGGCCAAGCCCTGCTCTGGCCTGACTTGTCACGCAGTGCTGACACAGAGCCCTGCTCTGCTCCCAGTTCCAGCTCCTCTGCTGCTGCGTTTTCGGAGATGACTGGTGCAGACCCAAGCCTGTCTTGGCAGAGTGGATGCCAACCTGTGCCCCTGAAGGGATGCAGAGCCATGCTTGGTTTGCTGCTGGCGACGGTGGGGTCAGGCAGCCCGTGGCACCTGAGTGGCTCCAGGCAAACATGAAAATGTGAAGAAAACAAGTGGCCCCTGATTTTCACACCCCACTGGACTCTGTTGAGCCAGGTTTAGGCTCTTCATCAGCCCCATCCCCTCCTGGGAATCAGCGGGAGGCTGTGAGGGAAGGGTGAAGCACTCCAGGACACAGGTCTGGGGAACACTGCTCTGCAGAGAGGTGGAGTCCAAGCCTCTCAGTTGTGGGGGGACTAATCCTACTCCAGTGAACCACTGGACCCCATGGCTGTCCCCTGTCCCTGGTGGTCCATCTGTTTCCATCTGCTGGTGCTTTAAAATCAGTGCTTGGCTCCTGTGCCAACAGCTTTGAGGGGCAGAAGGGCTGCAGAAAAGGTTATTTCGCCCATTGATGTCATACAGATGCCGAGTTTCTTTCTGCTTGTTGCAGACCAGATATAGGGGCTGGGTCCAGCCTTGTGCGCTTTCCCACTGCTTTGGGGACAAGTGTAGGTGGGGAGCTGGCCAGTTCCTAAATATTTACTTCTGCCATACAGCACAGCTCCACACCAGTTGCTGTTTCTCAGCACAGGCAGGCTGGTATTAGCCATGGGATGAAGGCTGCACCCCTGATTTCAGTATCTGTGACTGCTGGAGGCTCAGAGAAGATGGCACAGCTCACATCCTCTTGCCTCAGTTCTCTCCAATTAAAAAAGGCTGGCAGGCTCATTTTCATATGTATGCTTTTTAATATCATTAATTCCGTTACACTACACACAACCAGTAACAATGATAAATACTGCAATGGAAATGTTAAAAAATATATTATACATGTTTCATGTTTTTGAAAAAAAAAACCTCCACATTTTTAAATAAATTAATGCATAAAACTGATGGTAGAAAAGAGAAAACCCAAAACAAACCACAACACAACTGATCTGTTTAAGGCAATACTCTACACAGACGGGAACAAAAGTACAATAGTGTGCTACATGATCTGAACAGGAAAAAAAACTAAAAAAAGAAAACCCATACAAGATGCAGATTGATGCTTCGGGAGTGAAAAAACTCCCCAAACCAGATAATAAAACCAATGGCCAAGTTAAGTGCAGCATTAATACACTCTGCATGTCAAATGATTAGCAGGTTCCTAACAAGGACTAAGGTCAAGCTACAACAAATTTATTTTCCTAATTAAAAGGTTATTCAGGTCAAACCCTACATTTAACTCTATTTGCATTTGGCTGTTTCAGCTATGTTTCACTATATGCAAGGACAGCCAGAAATTCATCTCCTGCTCTTGAGATTAACACAAAGGCTGGGAGGTCTCTCCTCCTGAAATGTATTTCCATTAAATAAATCCAAAAAGGATCTTGCTTTTGGTGACCCTGAAATGCCTCTAGACACCCCCTCCCCTGGGTTGCAAGGCACCACATGGGGAATGGAGACCTGGAAAGCATTTGCTTAGGATGAGTTTTTTTTCCATGCTGAGGACACAAAATGGAAGTGCAGATTTGATCCAGATTTGGAGGAGTGCTGTTTTTCTCTGCCAGAAATGTCCATCTGGAGCCTGCTGAAAGTACTTTGCCAGCATGGGAGAAACCCATCCTGTATCCAGGCTCTGGATACAGCCACAACATTTGCTATTAAGGTTGGTGCAAAGCTCCACACCTGCCTGGACAGCCAATGAACCCCAATTATTAATGCAGCCCAGAACTTGGCCACTGGAAGATGGACAATAATCATAATGCCAAAATATCCCCTTCTCCCTCAAAAAAGAAAAGAAAAGGGACAGTAGCCACTTTCTGCCAACTTCCCCAGGTGGATCCCCATCAGCTGCCACCCATGCAAGACTGGCAGTGCCAGATCTCACCAGCATTAACCCAGTACATTCCCAGTAAGGTGCATGTCTGCAAGGTGCTGCTGGGGGCAAAGAAGCTTCCTGGGGCATGGTCACAGCCTCCTGTACTGCCCTGCTAGAGTGTGTGGGAAGGAAGCCATGGTACACAAGGAAAGGAAACCCTAGTGGAATTACTAGACTGGTGCAGGCCAACAACTTTCCACGCTGCCTTGGGTTCAGGCGGGAAAGGGGGATGCAGAACTGGGCTGAGAATCACTTTGGTGCAACTGCCTCTGATGCTCATCACTAGTGCATGGGGCGGTGGGAGGAAAGGTGACGGCTGCTTTGAGAAAAGGGGAGTGGAAGGAGGACGTGTGTGCAATATAACAAGGCTTGCAATTCTAGCACTAACCACTGGACATGGATACCAAAGATTACCTGTGACAACTAGCTATCCTTCTACTGTTGCTGCTCTTTCCCCCACTTACTGATCTGATTCTGCTTCAGTTTGGGAAGCCATGGCTGTTTGGCATGATGTCCAGTGCCGACTCACCCACTCCAGTCCTTACCCTGACATGGGGTGATTCTGCTATAGGTTGTACAGTGAGGTCTGGAAATCACGTTAGGCACAGACCAGCTCTGCACGACAGGTAGCACCTGCTTTCAGACCCTTCAGAAAGCTATTCAATGGCAGCTGATTTCCTTTATTAAACTGAAGGTTCAGTGACCCCTGTGGAAGGAGTAAAAATGGTTTAAAAAGTGCAAAAAGGGTGTATGCGTGTAGAAATTCTGAATTGTCTCCACAAGAGCCTTTCTCCCGGCAAAACTGTAGCCCACCAGCGTGTCTCGCAGCCCCTGTCCCAGTGCAGCAAGAACACAGCCAGCAGGCTTCCCACTGGCACCTCTGCTGCAAGTCTCCAGCCTGCACCAGGAGCACCTGGGCTGGCAGATCTGGGACCTGGTGTGTGGGCCCCAGACCTCCCACAGCACTGAGACTGGGAGGGTGAAGGCTGGCTTGGCTGGCTGGATCTCACCACTTGCCTGGTGAACCCTCACCCTCACAGCCATCAGGTGGCTGAAGAGGAATCCCAGCCTGCTGTCTGGCTCACAGCCCACCCTGTTCATTGGATTTTCTGCTAGTCTGAAGTTTGCTTGGCGTTTGTCTCAGGACACACACAGCTACAAGCCAAACACAGCTGCTACCGCAGCTTTTCCATGCAAAGAAACTGAGCAAAGAAACCTGTGAACTGGAGATGGAGAGAAAGGTGACAAAAACCAGAAGGTCTGTCATGAAGAGTGCTTGTCCGAGATTTTCAGCTCTTTCCCTGTGTCTGTATTACATCTCTCAACAAACTGTGTCTCCCAAATCACAGAGGCTTGAGGAAGGTGGGCAACAAATGGAGTCGCAGCTTATTTGGGTGGCAGAAGCAAGAAGACAGCCTAGGTGAAGAGCAGTGCTTCCCAGAGAGCTCACCTGAGACAGCTGGATGAGCAACCGAGGAGAAATGCTGCTCTGGGAAAGTAAAAATCTCATCAGGTAACAGGACTTATCTCAGCATGGCCTTTGGGTGACCTTTTCTTTTCCTAGTGCCTGCTGTGCTGCTTTCCAGAGACATGTCTGAGACAGTCACATTTTAATGAGGTTTATTTTGTGCTTTCCACTCCCTGATCCAATCCCACCACCTGTACCATGAATTTGTTACTACGGAAATGGCTCAGTAGACCAGGCGCCATCAGCGAGGTGGGCACCTTCCACAAGCAAATTCATCTTTTATTGGAGCAGCTTTTTAGAGAAAGCAAAAGGCTCAAAGTCACCACAAGTGGCAAATGGGCCTGGGAAGCCATGGGAAAAGCTGCTCTCCATGGGCAGCAGGGAAAGGTGCAGCCTGTCCTGCCAGCATCCATGCTGCTCTGTGACATGTCTTGCTGCATGGCCACAGTGCTCTGCTCTGTGTAATTCCAGTTAGTCCCAGCCTTTGCCTCCCCACCAGGCTGTCAAAGCAGCGCTCAGCCTGCTTTCATCCTGGGATTGCCAGCAATGTCAAGTGGGGCAAAGGAAGGGATATAGGTGTAATTTTTTGGGAAGCAATGCAGCAGTTAAGCTGCACAATACAGGGAGTTAAGATATCGATGACAGCCCCTGTGAGAAACCTCTGTTAATCTTCTGTAGGTAATTCCAGGTCACAAAGTCTCCCTCTATGCTACATTGCTGGTCCTTCTGCTTCAGAACTTGCATGGTTCTGTAATGGAGCTGGGTTTGTCTCATGAGATGTGGTTCAAGGTTTGGAGCAATCCCTCTCACAGCAGTCTTGAGAGGAAGTGACAAGGATGCCTAGAGCCTTAAAATGAAGATCCTTCCATGCCTTCCCAGCTAGCCCAGCTCACCCTGTGGCACTGCCTCTCTATACAGATGTTTCTTTTGAACATGCAGCCCAAGCTTGCTGAGCTGAGCAGCAGCCAGGTCACAAAGCCTACTGCATTCTAGGTAGGAGTGACCAAATCCCAC